GAGTTAAGATGGGAGTGAAATTCAGTGAGATGCTCATGGGCAAGGCAAACATGGCTATCATTGACATATCTGTACCACCACTTAGAGGGGTGTGGTGCAGTACTTAACGCTCTCTTTTCCACGTGTTCCATCACCAAATTTGCCAAGATGGCGCTTACAGGTGAACCCATGGGACAGCCGAATATTTGTTTGTAGAAAATGCCACCAAAGACAAAGTAGTTGTTGTCAAGCACGAATTCAAGCAACTTCATGAACATCTCATAAACATCTCATTTACATTTAGACGCCATTAACATTCATTTTATCACTGAAGAAGGTTATAGTATTTTAGCCGAAATGTCTATTTTAAGATTTTTAAGTCAGTGACAACAACTTTTAAGATTTTATTACTATGCCTGACTAACAACTGCTCTCTGACATTTACAAGCAACTTCTTGGTTGAAGACATAGACTGCAAGCAGTCTCTCTTTTGCTTGAAAATCCATGGGGAAGAACGCAAAGATGTACAGCTGCTGTTTGTGTGGATGTGCTTCCCTTTCCCTGACTTCCCTCAGATAATGTTTGAAAAGCTATGTGAGAGATTTGTCTGGAACTGTTGTTAGTTGCCTGCAATAATGGACTTTCCTGTCCCATCAGTAACACTTGTGAAACAGGTGGATTGGGTTGATATGAATCTGTGACTAAGGTACCCTTAAAAAATGTTTGGCTACCAGCTGTCTGTAATAACCCTCCTTCAGAAGCTACATAGAATAGAATAGAATAAAACAGAACAGAACAGAACAGAACAGAAAGCATTTATTTTAACACGATAACCTTTTAAGCTAAAAGCTTGTGGGTCATGTATAAAATACACATAAACCGTCTCTGTGCCATGGAATAAAACTGAGTACAGACTGAGAAATTTTATACCTACAAGAAAATTTCAAAATCATGTTGTCTCATACAATAATATTATTAATTAGTAATTAACTCCAGCTGACCTTGTTTCCCTGGAACTACAGATGGTTGTAAAGGAAGACAGGGCTGTGATGAACCTTGCAAGGAAGCAACTGGCACACTTATGCTGAGATAAGACTGCTTTTCCAGTTGTCTTCTTTGCACTGGTGGTTTACAATTTTTTTTTTGCTCTACCACTGCAGCTGAAAGACGATGCTGCTGTGAACTTCCCTGTGCTGCCATCATGATAATTTGTTTAGATGACGGCTGCTGAGAGACCTGCACACCATTTTCTCGAATGTCAGATCCTGCTAAATGTCCATGTGGAGGTGGGATGTTTTGTACCACTGAAGTTGGCAAGGTTTGCTGTGGCAATTCTCCCAATGTTGTAGTATTATTTCTTGAATACTGAAACTGAGCAGGGGTTGTTGAATCAACTTGATTCCCTGTTTGCTGTGAGACTATTCTACTGCTAATTTGCGTTGCTGCAGCTGGTTGCACGACTCCAAACATAGGCTGCATCTGTTGTACATACATGAAGTCTTTTTTTTGCTGCTTCACTGAAGACGAACAACTTTTTTCCTCCTTTGCAGTTATTTCAATCTTTCTTTTCCCAGCAGCCTTTCTCTGTTGACTTGCTGGATTTGAGGCAAACATATCTGAAATGTCTGGCACAATGCAAGCTTTTGAAGATGCACCTAAAAAATAAGAGATCATATTAAAATAAGTGCAACAAAAGCAGGTTACCTTCCCTGTCAATCAGTGGGATAGACCACTTGGAATTACCAGGCTTACAACCCAGATTCCAAAAAGGAATTGCAAATGGTCATCAAACACAGAGAACATGCTCCCATGATCATTGGAAATGGAGAGAGGATAATCAATCAGAAACTCAGACATGAATTTGGACTTTGGACCTGCAACGGACTACAATACATGTAACTCAAACATGTATAATGCAGATTTGGGCTTTTTAAATGGACAAGGACTTTCAATTGACAATATGGACACATAACATGGACTTGGAACTTGGACCAGACAAGAATGAGAAATACAATTGCTGCTGGAAGCAATTTAAGACCTGCCCATAGTGGGGGCAAGCTGAGTAGAGAGAGGATTGGAGGCAAGGTTACCTGGAAAGTAACTCAAGATTTAGTGGCCAACAGCTACATGATAAAGCAACATAAAAGCAGTTCGATGTCTAAGAAATAATAAGCTAGTGCATAAGTGCAGGCAGACAGCAAAACAGAAGTCAGGGAGGCTGTCATAGATTGTGCAGGGTGAAGGGTTGAGGAGGTTTGGCCTGGAGAAGGAGAAATCACTAAGACTGGGGAAGACCAAGAGTGGGCAATCAAACAGGAAGACAGGGGTACGTTTCATCAACATTTTCAGCAGGAAAGCAATTGGTTTTTGCAGGCAGACAACTTTTTGAACTGAACTTCTTTATGAGAAAAATGGATTTAACATGTTTATTCAAGATGTTGGAAATAATATACAAGAAAAAGCACATCTTGAAAAGAAAAACTAGAGGTCGACCCTACGGCATTTCCCTAAATAAAAGGATAAAACAGAATGATATAAACTATCTACAATGAAAATATATAAAACAGAATATTAAATATGTATCAGGTTACTGACAAACAGTTAATGTATATTTAAGAAGCGCTTTAGTGGACTCTTAAAACGGATGAGGCCCCCCGCCTCAACAATGTTATCTGTGTCCATGATTTGACTTAAAAGCTTTCCTCTAGATGGTCAAACCTGGCGAACAAAATCATCTTTATAGCTGGTCAATTTGCCTGGTGCCTAGCCCTTAATGAAATCCCTGGGAAGAGGAACATGGATGAATTGAGGAAGGAGAAAAGAGATCATGCATTGTGACCGCAAGAGAACTGAAAGCATCAGTAGCTGCTCTACAACAGGCAGTGAAAAAAGCATATTTATAAAATTATATGCTTGAAGCACAATGACAAATCAGGCCAGTTTTAACTCACCATGTCCACTCCTTAGGGAGGGACAATGCAGTGGCAGATGGCAGTTGAGGAGTAGGGGCAGAAAATGGCTGCCATGGGTTAGGGTTTGGGTTACATGTAGGTAGTACATTGTGATTCAAATTTGTTTTAATTTGCTTTCTGCAGTTTGATTTATATTTTGCTAATTGCTTAAAACTATAATAAACCTGATGATGAGTAAAATAAAAGCATTTAACAAAACCAAAATAATAACTAAAACTATAATACACCAGTGAATTTCAGTGTTGGAAAAGTGTCGGGTGAGTACAAATCATGGATTACTCGCTCGTTTGGAGAATACAATTTTCATTTTAAGCTATTGATAACACTCCTTTCTATTTTCCATTTTGGCAATAATTTCTATAAATGGGCGAGTGGATTTTGAGAGTCACTCGCCTGAATGGCCAGTGCTGTCAAAATTTAGTTTCCAACACTGGAATTTAGCAGAAATTTCCTAGACAAAATGCCTCATAAAAATAGCCCAAAATTGCTGACAAGACTCAGGGGTTTAATTAAGGGCTGGGCACTCAGGGCAAATTGACCAGTTGTGAACAGAACTTTGCCCAGAAACAAATCCCACTAGTGGCAGGGTGGAGGCCTCGAACCAGGGACCTCCAAATTATAACACCAGTGCCCTAAACCATTCAGCCACACTGCCTCCATGAAAATACTTTGAAAACTGATTTAAATCCGTTGATCAATGGCATCAAAATATAATATAGTTACCTATGCAAAGATCTCCTATAGGCAATTTTAAAAGCAGCGCTGATTTTGTGCTCCAAATTGTACAAAAATGGTCTCTGCAAGTCTAGGATTTCAAAATTTTCTGCGGGGTATGGCCCTGGACCCCCTAACTTGACAAAGCCCTTCAAGTCTTGCATTTGGTCTGCCTGGTTGTCATACCCTGATACCTGCCTGCTAAAAAACTTGTCGAAACCCCTGAAGACGGCTGATATTCTAATCCCAGTGAAAAGACACAAACCTGTTTCATCTCAGCTCTCACTTCTCTAGTCACATACTGACACCTTATGCAACAGAATAAAACATGATCATGTTGTGATCATACATGATTACCATCTTTACCTGAAGGTGCGAACATTTGTTGGTAAGTCAGTCCACTGGTTGACGGTTGTGGCTCCCTAGGAGTTCCCTTTGGTCAAAAATACATTACCCAAGTTATGCAACACTTTTCAATTGTACACAAGAGTAACATACAGTAAGGTAAGACAATCATTTGCATGCTCTGCTTTCATTAATCCCAAAGGGAGAGGTAGAGCTGTCATTAAGGTGGCCGAACACAGTTTTCGCACGCGCTTTTGCTGATGCAATTCAGCACGCGCACAAGGATTGCAAAAACAAACATGCCATCAACAGAGCGATCATTTTATTTACTCAACACCCGCACTATCTGCGCTATTTTTCTCTATTATTGAACGCAGTATATTGATGGCTTTAGTCTTT